GGTGAAGAACTAGAACAATAAAGTTCTACTGACCTCCTTGCAGCGTCGATCATAGGAGAAGGGAATATGCATCGCTTCACAAATGATTCTTCTTTAATTCTTCACGCCGATCAAAAAAACCAAAGCTGAAGGCAGATCTGGAAAAGATCAAGGGGACACCTACCGTGGCCAAGGAACACAAAAACAGGCCTTTAACTACTCATTTTGAAGACAGGAAGTCTGCAAGAGGCATTCACTCATCCCTTGACAAGCGTTCCTCTTTCAATTGCTATCGCTACAGCTGGTTTAACTTTGTGTCAGTCAGACAAAGCAACTTTGCAACGACTCTTGCTCGAAGAGTGGCAATGGATCAAAGACATGCCTCCGAAGTCTGCCGTTTGGATAGTAGACGGAGTGGTAGCAGTTCGCTCCATCAAGCCGATGCCAACGTACCGAGTGCGGACGCGCAAGCTTATCAAATTTGTTGCTCCTGAAGCTGGGTATAAGTTGGTGAACCAGGGCCAAGAGGTCATTTAGAAGTGTACTACCAAAACATGTTGCAAGGATATAAATGCCACGAGCTCCTATATCAAAATTAGAAGCAAATTGATATCATAAGACTGATTTCTGAAGGAAGACACATTGGGCTTTTGCTTTTCTCCATGTAAAACGCAAATGGTTCCCATTTCGGAAGAGATGTTTGCCTTAATCTACAGGCTTTACATGCTTTATCTAGGTGTAATTCTAAATCCTATTTCCGCAACGTAGGAAAGGTAAGGTTGCTGAAGACAGTCATCAAGAGCCCGCGATACCTTGAACTGCTTGACAGCCTTGGAGAAGAAAAAGTGGTTAGTGATAGCGATATAGAAGATTTTCAGAAGTTTGTTCAAATGGTAATGTATTCTGACAAGGTCAAGAGAAGCTATGTGGAAACAAGACTAAAAATGTATAACAAAATGAAAGTAACATTTAACTCCCTTCTGATTCACATTCCTAGAAGATAGCCTACTGCTGATTGCGTTGCGTAGAACCATCCGTCAAGACTTTCTTTCGAAAGTTGTGGCTGGAAGGGTCTTCTGAAGAGTCTTCCTTAAAATCTTGCTGCCTCCTTCTTTGAAGTCAAGACGGAAAAACAAGAGCCGGCTTTCAGAAAACGTTGGGGCAGATGTCGAAAGTGGCAATGAAAATCTCCCTGCTCCAAAGAAATACAAGAGATGTACTGAGGTACCGAAATAGGCCCGTAGTGTCGACGAAATCGGTGCTAGTAACGAATACAAGGAAACAACAGACCAGGTAGACTCTGACCTAAGTAGCACTGAACTTTCTGATGAACTAGAGAGTGAACGGAAGTTTATGACTTCAGTTCGTCGGAGGATTCTGGCGGTAAATGGATTTGAGGCAAATATATAACGTAAATCCTCGAATAAGCCCCCTGGGGGCTTATTTATTTCTTATATTTTTGAATGGGGGCATATTCGTGGGGGGGGGGCTGATACGAGGGGGGTTATAAAATTATTGTAGACATTAAGAAGACATTAGTAAAAGACGTCATTTATTTTAATAGGAATTTCTTTATGAGCATTTAATCAATTACTACCAAACGTATGAATTGTTGTGGTAATTCAATAAAACGCCGTAGGCAACCTCAGATGGCAAAAATCATCAAATTGAGGGGTCCCATTCGAGAATTTATGGTAGCAGTGGGGGCTTATTCGAGGGGGGCTTATTGACATTTTGTAGTGCTAGGGTGGGGACTTTTTCGAGGGGGAGGGGCAATTCGAGGATTTAAACGTTAAATTGAGTGATGCAGAATAATTACCTGACAAAACAATGCCACAAAACGATCCAGAAATGCAGTTGATTAGATCAGAGCTTTTGTCTAAAAATGTACTGTTCGACGGCCATTTTGAGAGTGATGACGTCATCATTGAAAATTGCTGACATCGTTAAAATACTGATGTGTATATATCATTGGAAAGCTTTCCTTCAGGCGAGCCCGAATCTAGCATTTATATTGAGGTCAGACGTATACTTGAGAAGTTACAATGGTTTTGAGTCTAGGAAACATAACTTTTTTGACGTCATCGGTAACGTGACTTTGATGAATTTTTGAAAATGTTGTAAGGGCTTAAATAATTCGTTATACCATATTGTTCCATAATCAGCCGAGAAAACAAAGGTTAGGCAATGCGGTCGATGGTTCAGAGGAATGCCCTGCCTATTTTGATTATTGCTTATTAAGAATTTTCTGTTAGCTGGATCCTTGGAGTTCTCTTATCAACAACAGAAATTGATATGCCAACGAGTGATGTGAGCTCTGTTATAAATAGCGAAGCTTGCCGCTAAAATTTTAGCCTAATTGTGTCAAAATCGCCGCCTCGCTATGAATCCGTAACAAAACTTTTCCGGATAGCTGGTTCAAACGATGCCGAATAACTTTGAAATCGTCTAGTTAGATGGATCAAAGGCCTTGTATGGCTAACCGAATCAATTTCTATACGGGTAGCTCAGTACTTGTGTAAACTGAAAGCCTATCCGTATAACTTTCTATCCGGATCAAAAGTTATCCGGCATCGTGTAAACGCAGCCTGAGATAAAAGCTAAAGATTAATGGGCAGATTTCCAAAGCCTTTATCTTCAAGAACAACTTTTCTATTTTATTCCAATTAAGTAGAAAATAGCTTGAGTTGATCCTGTTATATTTCAAAGATTTTAGCTGGTAAGTTGAATGAAATTATAGCCGTTGCCAGACAGATGGCATGACACTGCATTGCAACGCTACCCGTTTTCCCCTACTTTTCTACGTTTGACTTTACATTTGTATTGCTACAACTATTCCTCACACTTTTAGCTACATTTCAGGTTGAAAGGTAATGCACATCTGAATGGGAAGCCCAAAGTAGAAATTCTTTATTTCATAAGACCATCTGGGCCACAGCTTAAAGTTGCTTTATTATTCAAGAACGAGTTTCTTCATAACGTTGTGAATTTATTTTATGGAGAAAAAACCATGACCATTGAATGGATGCGATTTAAAACTATAGGTAGGTATCAGCCAAAGTATTGTCTTATAATATCGATTTAAGTCAAGCTTCCATGCCCCTAATAACCTATTATCTTCTTGTGGGTTTAACTTCATACTCCTCCTGTTTACAGAACTTTATTCACGTGTAGCATTTGTATCCGTATGATCGAAATTTTTCTGTTTGATGCCAGAAACTTTGTGTAATACATTCAACAGTTGATCTGCTTGTGTCAAGCAATTATTACAAAA